AGGCTATTGAGTTTTTAGGGAGTCAGAATTTGTATATGGATTTTTAGAAGTTTATTTATTTATTATTTTTAGTAATCTCTACATGGGGCTTGAACTCATGACCCCGAGATCAGAAGTCACATGCTCTTTTTATTGAGCCAGCCAGGTGCCCCTAAATGCAGATTTTTGATTGCATGAAGGGTCAATGCTTCTAACCCCTGCATTGTTCAAGGATCAGCTGCGTTTTCAAACACCGATAGAATATCCACAAAAATTAACCAAAAATTAAGTCATAAAGAAAGCTCTATGTATTTCAAAAAATCCATGTAATGTAGATTATGTTCTTTCATCATTTAACAATTTAAAACTAAACACTAAAAAAAGTGGCTGGATAAAAAATCCCATAAGTCTAGAAACTAAAAATAACTAACAACCCTTGGATTAAAAAGAAGAGGAAAAAATTATAAGGGAAATCAGGAAATTCTTTAAGCTGAATGACTGACTTTAAATACACTTATCAGAAAAAAAAGAAAGATTGAGGAAAATAAAGCATGCATTAAACCCAAAGAACTAGAAAAGGAAACAGTGGAATGAACATATACAAGTCAGAAGGGAAAAGATAATGCAAATAAGGGAAAGTCAGTAGGAAAGAAAGAAATCAATAGAGATGATTAACAATCAAAACCTTATTTCTTTAAAGAGATTTTAAAAAGTAAAACATCAGGGTGCCTGGCTGGCTCAGTCAGGAGAGCATAGGACTCTTGAATTTGGGGTCATGAGTTCAAGCTCCATGTTGGGGGTAGAGTTTACTCAAAAAAAAATTTTACAAAACACAAACAAAAAAATAAAATATCTGATAAAGGTGATTAATGAAATAAAAGAGACTAAGTTAAGGGTGCCTGGGTGTCTCAGTTGGTTAAGCGTCTGACTCTTGATTTCTGCTCAGGTTGTGGTCTCATAGTTTGTGAGATAGATTACCCATGTTGAGCTCTGTGCTGACAGTGTGGAGCCTGCTTGGGATTCTCTCTCTCTCCCTCACTCTGCCCACCCCCCAAATAAATAAACTTGGAAAGGAAAGGAAAGGGAAGGGAAGGGGAAGGGGAAAAGTAAGGGGAAGGGGAAGGGGAAAGCAACTGTAAGTTAAAACTTGACTCCAAAAAAGAAAATCAACTGTAGAAAAATAGAGATTTTAGAAATAGCAGAAAACTATGAACTGTATAGCAATAATATTGAAAATCTAAATGAGTGGCACCTGGCTGACTCAGTTGGTGGAACCTGTGACTTTTGATCCTGGGGTTATGAGTTTGAGCCCCATGTTGGGTGTGGAGATTACTTAAATATAAAATATTAAAAAAAAAAACACAAAAAGAAAGAAAATCTAAACGAAAAAAATTAATTTCCCAGTAAACTTTGCCTGAGAAGAAATAGAAAACTTGGATCACCCATTAACCACGAAAGAGATTTTTAATCATTCACCAGGCCTCCAGTCTAAGTGCAATTTTTATGGTCAAGGTTCTTTTTTTAAAATTATGGTTAAGGTTCTTAATTTTAGCTAAGCAAATCCACTCTAATATAATCTGAAAAGGGTTTATTAAGGAATGTATATAAACCACAGAATTATTGGAAAGACGGACATAATAGACTCTGGCTGAACTTTCAAGAATGATCTCAAAAACCCAGCAGAACTTGGTAACTAAAAGAACCATGATGACTACTCTGATCAGGAATTTGCTGCCAGCACTACTGGCTTTAGTCTAACACCTCTACCTCCACGATCTGTACCATAAAAATGAATGCACTGTACCCTGTTTTCACATGACCCAATCTTGAATCAGAATTTCCCACATGAATCTTACTGTCAGAACTTAAATCACATTGAGAAATCCTAACTGCCAGGGAATCTGAAATATGTAGATTTTACTTTGAGTTTCTACATGTTACAAAGGGGTTAGAATGAGTTTGAAAAAATTATTCCACAGGCTCAGATAGTTTTAAAGTTTTGAGTTCTTTAAAACTCTCTAGGTAAAGATAATTCCAGCTGATATGAAGTATTCCAGAAAAAAACATGGAAAAGCTGTGCAACTCATTTTGAGTCTCAATTCAAATTAATTATTTCATTAATTATAATCTTCAGACCAACAGTGGTGAGGACAATACAAGAAATATATTATTAGCCCATTTCCCTTATGCATACAATGTGAGATCCTGAATACATATTAGCTGAGTTCAATGATGTTTTAATAAACAAAACATGGTAATATAAGTTTCACTTCAGAAATGTAAGGAAGGTCATCACCAGAAAAGATATCTTTTAGCACATTAATGCCCTAAAGAGGAACAAAATTACCTGAATATATACAGAAAAGGCATTTGATAAAGTTTAACATCCATTTATGACATTTTTAAAGTGTTAGAAAAAATAGAAATAAAAGATGATTTTTAAAAAAAAATTTTTTTTTCAACGTTTATTTATTTTTGGGACAGAGAGAGACAGAGCATGAACGGGGGAGGGGCAGAGAGAGAGGGAGACACAGAATCGGAAACAGGCTCCAGGCTCTGGGCCATCAGCCCAGAGCCTGACGCGGGGCTCGAACTCCTGGACCGCGAGATCGTGACCTGGCTGAAGTCGGATGCTTAACCGACTGCGCCACCCAGGTGCCCCTAAAAGATGATTTCTTTAATTTGATAAAAGCTTTTAGCAAAAAGCTGGCAAATGTAGTGGGGCAAATATGTGACACATTATGATTAGGAACAGGAAAGAAAGCCTTGTTAGCACAGATGCCATTCAGTTTAGTAAGGGGTTCTTAATAAAACAAGAAAAGAAAAAATAGGAGGTATAAGCATTGAATGGAATGGATAACGGTCCCTGTTTGCAGATTATTAGATCTTCTATGAGAAGACCCTGTTGAATCAATAGACAAACTACTGGAACTAATAGGAGAGTTCAGAAATACTGTGGAGATGCAAGACCAATAATAGGCAACAACAACTATAATAATAGTGAATACTAAGTACTAGATAAGAAACTTTATAAATATTTTATATATATTTAAGTTTCATGTAAGCGTTCAAACATTGTTTAATGTCAGCAGCAACGACCTAGAAATTAGTATGGAAAATGACTTCACTCACAATCACAACAAAAACTGCTAAGTACATAGGATATAACCTAATAAAGAATGCACTTCGCAAAGACCTTTTCAAGCTGTATTAAGTGACATAAAACAAGATCTAGGTAAAAAGAGAAGAATGCCAAGTTCTTGGGTAGGAAAAAATTAACACTGTGAAAATACCATTCTCCATAAGTTCATCTATAAATTCAATGCAGTTTTAGTGAAAATTTCAGGAACTGGACCAATAGGAACTGGAAGGATAATGGGCCAAACAAAGAGAAATTGTCCTATTGGATGTATTAAGACATTTTATAAAAGCACAGCAATGAAAACCGGATGGTTCTGGTATAGGCACAGATAAAAATTGATGCAACAATAAAAAAACAAAAACAAAAACGAACAAGCCCATGTTATATATGAGAATGTGTAATATAGCAGAAATTAGCATTACAAATCAGAGGGGAAAGAGGGATTATTTAGTATATGGTTCAGTAGATAGGGAAAGTAAATTTACATTCCACCCTCACAACAAATTAAAAAATGAACTCCAAATAGATTAAAAACCGAACTATAAGAGGTAACATATACAGTTATTAAAATATATCATTGTGAACTATCTTTGTAAACTTGGGGTGGGAAAGGATGTTTAAATAAAATTTAAAACATTTAAAAATTTTTTTAATGTTTGTTATTTTTAGTGTTTATTTTTAAGGAGAGAGAGAGAGACAGAGCATGAATGGGGGGAGGGGCAGAGAGAGAGAGAGAGAGAGAGAGAGAGAGAGAGAGAAAGGAGACACAGAATCCAAAGTAGGCTCCAGGCTCTGAGCTGTCAGCACAGAGACTGACATGGGGCTCGAACCCATGAACCATGAGATCATGAAATCATGACCGGAGCTGAAGTCAGATGCTTAACCAACTGAGCCACCCAGGCACCCCTATATTATTTTGAAAGAAAGAGAGACAGAAACAGAGCACGAGCAGGGGAAGGGAAGAGAGAGAGGGAAACACAGAATCTGAAGCAGGCTTTGGGCTCCGAGCTGTCAGCACAGAGCCCAACATGGGGCTCAAACTCATGAACCGTGAGATTATGACCTGAGTCGAAGTCAGACACTCAACTGCCTGAGCCACCCAGGCACCCCAAATAAGATTTAAAATGTACAGAACTTAAGGGTAGGTGGTGGAGATCAATGGATGTGATCATATTAGTTATTTCTATACAAAGAAAACATGATAGATAAACATAACAGACTGGTGGCAGATTAGAAGATGTTTTCAAAATGTAAAACTGAAAAGTGATTAACAGAATATACCAAGGACCCATTCACATCTGCAAGGAAATAAACAAAAATTGGACAAGGAATAAAAATAGATAATTCATGGAAGAGTAACCCTAAATAGCCAATATGTATGTGAAGAAATGCTTAACTTCACTTGAAATCAGAGAAATTCAAAATAAAGCAACATAGAAATGGTAAAAATTTAAAAAGTCAGCTAATACCAAGTGCTGACTAGAAGGAGCCGAAATGAGAAATCTCATTCACTATTTGTGGGAGAATAAACTTTTACTATTTAGTGAAATTAATTATCAGTATTTTCTATATATGTATCATTCCCCCATCTGGGTTTATACTGTGTACAAGTCTTTAAGGGGATATTTATGCAGAGCATTATTTGTATTAGCAAGAAGTTACAGGAAGCCTTACTCTCTGTCCCTAGAGAAATGGATAATCACGATGTGTTGTGTGTACATGCAATGGAATACAATACAGCCATAAAAAGTAATTAACCATCTTTATATATAGCAAAGGGAATAGATCTTAGAAATACAATTATGAATTCTGTAGGGAAAAACAATTTATGTACATTCAAAACACATATACACATAGAAAACCATCTATGATTTCTCAGGGATATATTTTCAGATGCCTAAGGCCATATACTGAGTATGCTGGTGTGGACATCGCTGATGGGAAGGACAATGTAAATGAGAATGAGTAAGACAAAGGGGAAAGAATAATGAAATAAAATGAGAGGGACATTTCATGGGCTTTTAATGATAGTGGAATATGAAATCTGTGTATTTGAGACCCATTTGACTCCTGGATAATTAGCATGTTTGTCCTAATTTGGAGGAGGAATAATTAATGTTCCCAGTAAAAGGATGTACATGTTTTAAAACAGATTCTGGAAGGTTTGAATGACCTTATGTAGAAGACAGATGGATATTTGATTAGTATAAATTCTTTGCTTTAAATACATTCCTCCAGTAGAAGTGTTAGAAAGTAATCTGAAATTTGCCTCCAGCAATCAGTCTAAGAAAGGAGTACAACTTTGAAAAATGTGGTTATTTAATATTCAAAGAGAATTGCTCTGTAAATCTAGGAAATACAAAGATACTCTGTCAAAAGTTTGCCTTCTGTTAGGTTTCCATGTAATTTATCAGGCAATAGTTTAAAATGCATCAGTTTGTTTTGTTCTTATAGTATTACCTCATTGCACATGACTTCTGACTAGGTCAGTTATTCATCTGACTAAGACAGTTATTCATCAATAGAATCCCCCCCCCATCATTACTTCTTGTGTGAACAATATACTACAAATTATAGCTTGCAGACTCTGCTCTGTCATGCTTAACACACTGCGTTATTCAATAGCTTTGGTGTTTTTGGTATTAATCTTAGGCTCTTTAATAATGTCTCTTATGTATTATGTCATTTCTATCAATACCATACTTAATTAATCAATAGTGTGAATAATTAATTGATTAATTAATAGTTTGAATTAATCAAAGATTGAAGTCAGTGGACTGAAATACTCAAAGGGCATTACTTTTCTTTTTATTTTTTTAATGTTTATTTATTTTTGAGACAGAGAGAGACAGAGCATGAACGGGGTAGGGGCAGAGAGAGAGGAAGACACAGAATCGGAAGCAGGCTCCAGGCTCTGAGCCATTAGCCCAGAGCCCGACGCGGGGCTCGAACTCACGGATCGTGACCTGAGCTGAAGTCGACGCTTAACCGACTGAGCCACCCAGGTGCCCCAGGGCATTACTTTTCAATAGCCCAATCTCATTTAGAAGTTTTCATGGATGTTTCTCTTGGTTTAAAAAGAAAGTAAGTGTTCAATATAATCACCTTTTTCTATGACCCATTAATATTTTAGGAATAATATGATTTTCATTATTAATATTTTAAATAATATCCTTTAATCATAGTTAAATATCTCTACTAAAATATCTGACAGCTTGTCAAAAATGTTTCTAAAAATGTTATATATATGTTAGTGTTTTTTAATGTGATTTCTTTATTCAAAGTTCATATTCTTTTCTATCCCATGGAAAAGGGCCAGTATATGAGTATTTTGAGAATACTAATGTTCTTCTTTCCAGTGTTTTTCACTTCCTGGCAATATAAAATAGGGTAATATTGTAGGGCACCCATGGAAAACCCTGTGAAAATGCTGTAGCCAAGGCAACCACCTGCCCTGTGGTCCTGCCCCTCTGCGGTTGAAGGGGGTACCTCCTACACACACACTTTTGACAACTATATGTGCTCCAGCAACCCAATTGGGAAGCTCTGATTTAATTCTCTGGGATTTTTTGAAAGACAGAACTTTTCTAGCCCCTAGAGGAAGATTAGTTCTAGAACATAGTGAGATTTCCTCTTTTCTAAAGGATTTAGAAGGAATAAAAGATGGTAAAGTAGTATAGTCCTTCAAAGAGTGGGGATAACTCAGGAAGATCTCTGGAGATTTTTCTCATGACTTAGTAGTAGTAGTAGCAGCAGCAGCAGCATCTGTGATTTATATTTGGAATTGTGAAATTTGGCCCATCTGGATAATGTAAGGTAATCAGTCAGGGGATTAGCAACCTTAATTCTGTCTGCAACCTTAATTCCCGTTTGCCATGTAACATGTACCAGCAGGTTCCAGAGACTAGGATGTGGACATATTTGAGGGGAGGGGGCTTGTTATGCATAGCATACTGCCCTTTAGAGCAGTGCCCATTCTGATCAATCAGACCTAGCTAGGGGTCAAGGTTATTTGGTAGCACCAGAGTAATTTAGGTGAAAGAAACCAGTTAGAAGGATGTTATAAACACAGCAAGCATGCTGAGTCTTGCTTATCTAGTAAATCTAGAAATTGCATTGTGATTTTTAAAAATACCACTAAATTGAAAGATGCATGACTATATTAATATGATTATCTCTTGTGGTAAGATTATGGATTATTTAAATTTTCTTCTTCATGTTGTGCTACTTGTTAAGTTTCCTGCAATAAGCAGGTTTTGCTTTTATAATAAAAATAATTAAGTTTTCAAAATTTCCAAGCAATCTCCATACTGTGACAGTTATAAACAGAAAAGAAATAAGTGAAATCATACATATAAAGTTGATATAAATGACAAAGTCTAAATATACATAATGACCACAAACTCGACATAAGTAAGCTAATAAATAAACTAGCCACACTGTAATTCTGGGTCACATTTTAAAATAGGGTAAAATTATCAAGTCATCCCATTACACTTGGCATGAGTTATTAGTAGCATCCTATTTCTTTTCTGAATTTCTAATACAAGTAATTGTATCATAAAAAGGCATCAAAATAGGTTTTAAAAAAATAGTAAATAAGAATTATTTCTTTTGATAAAGAAATTGATGAAAGACAGCTTAAAATATGTTCAGAGGATAGGAATAAAACTCAGCAAACACCAAGCTTCCTTGTACTTCTGTCTCTACTGGGTTGAGTTGTGAAGGGATTGGGAGGTAGCCAGCAGAGCTTTTCAAGGTGCTCCATTCCACTTCTGCTTGTGGGCTAGGGTCACTGAAAGGCCCCACCTGCAAGTGCTAAGCCGCTCCTAACCCAGCAAGAAATATACCTCACTGGCTGGTGACACTTGGGATTAGTTCTTCTGACAATTGGTCTGGAACTTAGCATGCTAGGGATATGTTCCCAGGACCTGAAAATTCATTTTCTGCCTCAATTTTTTGTATTTAACATTCCTTTCCCAACTATAATTAGAGTTCTACCCAGAACCTCAGTCTATCACAAATGGGCTGGATCAGCAACACTATACCAGCACCAACCCTAGAACACTGAATCAGATATGTCCAGGACAGCTGAAGCCATGCCATGGAGGGTACAATTTTCTAGAACTACCATGCCTTTCCTCAATATAGCAATACCTTTTTTTTTTTTTCATTATAAAAGCCATATAATTACATGATAGAACCTTAGAAGATTTAGGAAATAATGACACATTTTATACACAATACCATTACCCTTATTCAGTCTTCTTAAGACATTTGATATAATTGTTCCTATCAAGTTTTGCGTATTTGTTTTTATAAGCATGTAGAACAAAACTTCCAATTTCAGAGTAATCTGTGAGTACAACAGAACTCAGACATGTCAGGGCACATCTCTAGGTCCTGCTGAAGCTGCTAGGAGAGAGAATCATAAGGTGGGACTCTCAGGTGGGATTCCCTCCAGTCCCACTCACCCACAGATGAATTCTAGGGAGAGAGGACGGTGACTAGATATCAAAAACCCTTCTCACCAACCAACCTACCAACCAACCAACCAACCAACCAACCAACTGGCAAAGAAAAACCCAATTTCATTACTGTTTGAGACCTAGATACCAGAATTTATTGCTAAAGTGAGAGGAGTGATTCTCACAATGTCAGCAGTGAATGTGGTGGGACCCCTCCATTTGGCTTGGGCACAGCCTCCTAGGGTAGTAACACAGGAAAGAAAGAACAACAAAGGGCATGAAATGATCAGTGCGATGATTAAATTCTTGAGCACACATGAGATGACCTCTGAGAATGTGCAGAAGTGTTCAGGGCCTTTTGAAAGGGGAATGGCAGTCCTCACCCTCGAGGATAGAGGAATATTGTGAACCTGTCCTACTTCCAGACTGGAACCGCTTGAAGGAATCTAGGTCCATCTTGGAGGCTCCTGAAGGACTATGATATCCTAGTGCATTGTTATGCACTCCAAATACAACTTCCTCCCTAGAATTAATTGATAAATTGGAGACAGTGGTGGGACATGATTAGAAGACTGCATTGCAAGCTTCTGGAAGGCTGGGACTCTGCCTGCCTCATTTTCCATCCCTATCTCAGCATAGTGCTGCTCAGTAAACATAGTGGTGCTCAGTAAACACATGCTGAATAAATGCCAAGTGAAGCCTTGTCCATGCGGTTATATATGGAACACTCAGAAGGCATTGCTGATTTGGGAAATCAGTAAACTCTCCATGACAGGGCTAAAACTAAAGAGATCCTGAGGACTGCTTGAAGCTGTCTTCAAAGGGTGGGAGCTGATCAAAAGCTTGCAAATCATTTGCATCCTTAGTATAAACAATCTGTACAAGTGTGATAGAATGCTATAGTGAAGGTGGCAGTTTTGGAAAGGTGGGTGGTGATTTACTGTGAGAACATTAAAAGGAGAGGACAGGGACAATAAGGAACTTGAGAACCAAAAATGGGTCAGGAATTGGGTATGCACTCATGAGGTTGTATGAGTCAGAGAACTAAATTCAAACCCAAAATTCTAGTGGCTTAATATACTAAGAATATTTGCTGCTAGGGAGTGCAAATTCATACGCACTGTTTTGAGGGTAATTTGGTAATGTGCTAACAACCAACTATGTGCCAGGACTTAAAAGAATTAATTCCTTTGCTTCTCTCAATAGTCCTGAGTTAGGTCCTAATTTTAACTTCATCATACAGATGGGGACTGTTGAGATGAAGTAACTCATCCAAGAACATACAGCCGTGAGTAGCAGTGCAGTCTTTAAATGCAGGTAGTTTAGCTTTGGAGGCCAGGCTTGCAACCCCTACATTGATCTCTGTGTGTAGTAAGAGGTAAGAACTCTCTGATGAGATTGGACCTATTCAGGGTAGTACGGCTGTAGACAAAGAGCCCTCTGAATTATATTTGCCATTTTATGAATTTATTCCAAGGGTACATAATCAAATATATTTCTAAAAATATTTTTATTACAATCTGGATTGTGTGGTAAAAAATTATAAGCCTCCAAAGTGAGGCAGCAAATTATAGGTGTTAAGACTCCAAGAGTCCTGGAGTCAGTTCTGGGCCAGATCCTGTCTCTTTCACTTCATCATGGGTTGTTAACACTGGCCCACTCCAAACTTCTGCAAAATTAGAATGGGGACAGGCCTACCTCACAGGAATTTAAAATAAGGAAATGCTGCTTTCTGAATGGCTCAAGATGTGACTTTCTCTACAAAAACTAAAATTCTTTGAAACCCCCCAAATTTATAATGTAATTATAATAAATTACACACACACACACACACACACATATGTATGTAATAAAGCAGTGACACAACTGATCACTTTTCAGTGAATTAAAATTTGGGAAACTTGAAAGAAATTGTAAAGAGTGAAAATTCTAAGAATCTAGAGCAGCTCTGATGAGATGATGGATGTCCAATCTGTCTCTTTCTAACACCTATCTGCATTTTACATAGATCAACAATCTGTGACTGTGGCGATGAGGTTGCATCTGCAGAGACAAGGCCTACTGTTGTTCCACTTTACTTCAAAGATGCGAGGCTGCTATGCATGCTGCTTTTTTGGTTTTTGGTTCTAGAAATTATTCTGCTTCTACACCATTTTAATGTTGGTGTAGTTTCTAAGTTCCACTACCAGGAGTGTAAAAAGAAATACACAGCATTGAGGCAGCAATATTTTAGATGGAAGAGTGGTTTTTGATCCCACCTCTCTTACATTAGTCCACCAAGTGAAACATTTAGTTTTCTGTGTATTGATGGAACAAAATGGAGGACAGTGCTTTAAAACTTTTATCTTTAATGTAACTGATTTTTACTATTGTATTGCCTTTCTTTTCAGTTTAGAA